ATGAAGGGTAGTATAATCATTTCATAAATAATAATATTTATGTAGAGAATTAGACAAGTTTGTTCTACTCCTCTTAGTGGAACAAGTATTTATTTATTAGAACAAGCTTCACATGAAAAAAAAATTGATTTTTATCTATTTAAAAATACAACAAACAACTTTACAAAACAATTACACGGGATGATGGGAGTGTGGTTGTAGTTGTTTTTCAAAAGTATTTTTTATACTGAAATGTATTAAAATAATTTTTTATTTTTAAAAAAATATTTTTAAAATCAGCACATCAAAACAATTTAAAATATACAAAAAATAATTTTTTTTAAACACTGTTTACATCGTGTTTCCAAATATTCTATATATGAGTTCTTCTTTGTCCAACATACAAAACACAGCCTTAAAAGATAGTTAACTAAAAACAAAAACAAAAAAAAAAGAGAAAAAAACTAACCAATTAATTAAATAAATAAATAATTCTCCTATGAAAAGAAGTTGTTGTGTAGTAAAACTCTAAATACTATTCATTGTAAAATAGGCAATGGGGACAATATGATCTTTTTTATCATAACATAATTATTTTTAATATATTGTATGAGGTTAGATTTGTTTTTTTTTTTATTTTGCATTAGTACTTTAATCTTAGAATAAAAATATATAATGACTTTAAATCCAGGTTTTTTGGTCTTTCTATCTTTTATAAAAATATTATAATTACTTTATGCCATTGAAAACAAAATCTACATAAATCTCTCAAAGGGGTTTTTTATTATTAATGTTGCATTGATTTTGTTATGGATTTGGTTAAGATTATTCATATGAAATATTATTTTAAAAAAACTTGCTGGAAACTAAAAAGTGCTTCAACTGATAGGAAAAAAACCCGAAAAGTACCTGATCAGTGACAATGGAGGATGATTTCACCAAGGCGTGGCACTTTGCCACTATTTTCCACTCCCTGCGTTCTTCAGAGTCACCCAATTTAGATTCTTTCATGCTTTTGTGCATTGCCATTTGTCTGTTCCTCCCGGAAACTAGGACATTTTCCAAATTACAGGAAAAACTAGAAGAAAACACCATGGCCACAGCAGCATGCTGCAATAGTAGAAACTGAACAGATTAAACGAGCCAGCAAACCATGTAAAACGCGTATGCAAAGATCCAACCTCCCACTACTCTCCTTTTCTCCCCCTCCATTGACATGAAGAAAAGAAATCCCACTACATATATATTATAATTACTTGTTCCTAAGCTTGCTCAATCTTGAACTCATGGTTGCTCTCATATATATCCTAATCAGCACCTGTTCATATCATTAATGCCCCATTACTAATCGCCCGCTGATTGCTGGACCATGTTATTATTGGAATCTCGATCATGTCGTCGATGTTTTTATGATCGATCAGTGGAAATTTTACCACTCCCAGTAATACTACCTGCTCATGTTGTTGACAATGGCCTTCACTCGGTTCTACTGTAATCTTTTATTTATAATCCCGGTGTAATTCAATTAATCAGTTTTTAAATTTATTTTTTTAAAAATTATTAATTCGAGTTTTATAAACTTAAAAATTAATAAAAACTTATATTATCGTTAATCTTATATGATTAATTAAGATTTATGTAAGCTAACTAATACTCATATTAATCTAAAAATAATTTTTTATTTCCACATCAATATGCAGGTTTCCCACTTTCAGCATTGAAACAAAACATATAGTTTACTCTTGCTTGCTAGCATGCTTAAAGAAGGATTGACTGCTAGAAATCTTTAATGCTAGTGGCAAGTGAAGACTCTTGTGAGTTGTGACACTTGCTTTTTGGCTGTGGAGTGCTATATCTGTTTTCCTCATCAGCTTTTTGTACTTTCTTTTCTTTTTTGGTCTCTACTAGTGTTTGTGACTCATGCATCAGGTGTCATCAGTTAATGTATTTCTGTAAAGTATTTAAGTGAATCATAACAAAGTAAATTTGAGCTTCGATTGTTGAGACCTAATTTTCAGTATAAGAATTACTTTATTGCAGTAAGTTTCTCTTTATACATAGTTTACTCTGTTCTGCAGTTTGTCTGTGTTGTTTCATAAATTTAAAATATAAATATATATTGAACGCCATTGAATGTTCATAGCACTCTAGATAGGGTCACAAAATAATTAATAATCTTCTCCTCCTATGCTCTTTGTCACTCTTTTTTATTTTATTGAAATGGGGGCTTCAAACTCTATAAAAAACTCAAATCAAACGTGAAAGCATGAATTTAATAAGATCAAAATACAAAATACCAAAAAAAACAAAAACAAAAACAAAGCTACTTTGAATCAACACAGAAAGGAGTTTTGTAAGGATATCAACAAACCACAAATTAAAAGGGGAGTTAACAACCATGGGATCTTCCTTCTCTGTCGACTTAAGCCACAAATGGGGGGATTTTGTTGACCCAAATCAACCCAAACCCTGCAGCCGCAGCCGACCATCTTTCTGAATTCTCATCCAAGTCAACTTCCGTATCCTCCACATCAACTGTGCATAGCCACCGTACAGTCATCCCTCTTCCTCTCCCCAACCACCAACAACCATGTATTAAGGAATTTCTTGATCTGACACAAGAGGTCCCTAAACAAAAAAATAATAAAAATAAAAATTCCCCGCTTAAGAATTGCCCTTTGACCACTTCTAATCGTCCTCCTTTGTGATTTTATTAAAATTTGAAGGCAATTCAATCCCAATCCAACAGAAAATAGGCTAAAATAGAAATGCTCCTAGATCATGTATAATTAGACCAACACAAAGGTGATCAGAGTTAATTTTCAGATAATCAATTATTTATATAAGTTAGAGTCGTTATATTAATTTTAGGACCAATATATCAAGAGTAATTAATTTTCAAAATTGTATTCTTAAAATTACCTTTTTATTAGCTTATAATAGCTATTAGAGTTTAAAATATTTTCAATTAGCTTGTTGTGGGGTTCTCTGTTAAAAACAAATATGCTTAATTTGACAAGATAATATCCAATTTTATCACTAAAAAACTTAAATGAATTTAACTCTAAAAAAAATGCATTTTTTTAATATATTCATGAGGTGTGTTTTTCAAAATTTTGGTCCTTAAAGTTTTTTTCTTTTTCATTTTTTATTTTTGAACCCAAAACTTAACTTTGCTCACATTTCAACCTCTAAGCTTAAAAGATAAGGAAGAGAGTATTGGAAAAAGAGGGGTCGAGAAAAAGTGGTTTGTTGACTATATTCCAAAAAAAAAAAAAGGGTTCTTGATGTCAATAAATTTTATTAAAGTGTTTTGGGTTTAGGGTTCTTTATGTCAATAAATTTTATTAAATAAAATAAATTTTATTAAAGTGTTTTGGGTTTTTTATCTTACTAAAAAAATAAATCAGGACTCCATTGTTTTAACCAAGATGAATTTTCAATCTTTTGAGAAATTAAAGGTTTTTTTAGGTTAGATATGGGTTAAATGAGGCTTGAAGGGGGTTGCTTCTTAAGTTTTTTTCAAGCAGGCTCTATGTTCAAAGAGTTTTATCTGATTTTTCGATGACTTTTTGATCACATGAGACGGCGAAAGCATAACCAATAAATAATATATCGTCGCCTAGTGAATAAAATTAAATCTTGTAACTTTAAAAAAATTGCTAATTTGATATATAAAATGCTCCCAGAGTCCAGCTGTCACAAACTTATTAATCATGGACTATCAATTTAAAATAGAAAATCATATGTAAATATATTTTCAAAACAATAGTTTAATATTAAACTGGAAAGCTTAATTTTGATGAGCTTTAGCAAGAAAACAGCTTACAATGAATTTATACTTAATTCTATGAATAATCGAAGGCAAATAGTATAATATTTCTTGCATCAATAAAAGATTTGTTTTTTTTTTTTGGGATCTTATGCCATTTAAATATTCAATCATCCAAATGAAAGCTTTTAATATTATTTGTGAAACCACCCTAATTTGTCAACAATGCTAGACATCAATTTGTCAATAATGTTAGGTATAAATTTGGTGTCACCTACCTTGCACTTGTCTTTTGCATGGATGTTTGCCTATAAATAGGCAATGCATCCAAGCATTATAGACACACCACAAGAGAGAAAGAAAAGAGGGTGAGGAGAGAGTGATCCCACAAAATTATAAGGTATTTGTGAGATAATAAGTGAGGTGTTTTCTCCTAATAATAGAGAGATTTTTGTTGTTCTTCTATTTTTAGAGAGAAGTTGTATTCTCACATTACTTATGAAATCCTTCTATATTTGCTCATGGACGTAGTCAAATTGGGTGAACCACGTAAATTCTTGTGTGTCATTTTTCATTTTATCTTATTCCTTATCTTTTGTCTTATCGGATTTGCATGCTAGTATCCTAACATTATTAAACATGTTTTATGAGCTGGTTATAATTGATGATGTAAAGTGGTTCTCTTATGGTAGTTTAAATAGTTCTTGTCGCTTCTATTATCAAAAAATTGTTTAAAAGTCATAATTTGAGTAAAGTATAGTTTAACCCCCATAGCTTAAGAAAAATAATTAATTAATCTTCATATCTAAAAAATTATGTATCTAATTCATATTTTTTAATTTTATTTATGATTTAGTCCTTCCACCAATTTCGTGTTCCTTTTCGATTTCTTTTTGTTTAATTTTTTTTTAAATAGATTGACGAAAAGAAAAGTAGATAAGATAGAGACAAAGTCATAATTCATATTTTTTTAATTTTATTTATTATTTAGTCTTTCCACCAATTTGGTGGAACTTAGGTATATGAATTATTTGTACCAAGAAAACATACAATCTTTCATATACATATATATTTCAATTACTAAAAGCGAAAAAACAAGTTTGTATTTAAATGTGCTAGCTATGGCTTTTCTTAAATTTTTTTTAAAGAAAAAAGAATGTGAACTGGGTATTGATAAATTTACCATATTTTAAAATATTAATTTTGAATTTATTCTTTTTAATAAATAAAATGAAAGAGGGGCTGAACTCGTACTGACAACGGTTGTTTCTTGGAGGCTTTGGGGACTAAATACGAGGTCGTGGTGTTCACCGCCGGGTTAAAGGAATACGCTACGCTGGTTCTTGATAGGATTGATCCAAAGGGGGTGATTTCGCACCGGCTTTATCGGGATTCATGCAAGCAAGTTGATGGGAAATTTGTCAAGGACTTGTCTGAAATGGGGAGGGACTTGAAGAGAGTGGTAATTGTTGATGATAATCCTAGTTGCTACATTTATCAGCCTGAAAATGCAATTCCAGTGAAGCCCTTTCTTGATGATCTTGGCGATTTAGAGTTGGGGAAGCTGGCTACTTTCTTTGACAGGTGTGATTGTTTTGAGGATATGAGGGATGCTGTGAAGGAGTATGTTGGTGGCGAAGGAGACTCCGTACAGGTGGAAGTCTAATTTGTTTTCTCACTCTGCTTCCGTTGCTCTCTCTCTCTCTCTCTCTCTCTCTCTCTCTCTCTCTCTCTCTCTCTCTCTCTCTCTCTCTCTCTCTCTCTCTCTCTCTCTCTCTCTCTCTCTCTCTCTCTCTCTCTCTCTCTCTCTCTCTCTCTCTCTCTCTCTCTCTCTCTCTCTCTCTCTCTCTCTCTCTCTCTCTCTATCATAGGTTTCTTTTCATGAAATTAGTTGCGTTGAACACAAAATTGTTCAATCCCAATCGAGAAAAGCAACTTGTAGCTTAATTACTTGTATTAATTCACTTGTAATTCAGTTCTTCATCATTGATTATTTGTTTGACTAGTGAAAGGTCAATCTATTACAAGGAAATTTCATTTCAAAAGGTCCTCCTAACAATTTCAAATCTTGATTTATGCTTCACTAATTACGCCTTGACCTGCTATGATTTTGCGTTTATCTCTCAATTACTTGAGGAAAGAAATCGGATTAGCAACTGTCTAAACCGTGCAAAACTCCCAAGTGCATGAATGTGAGTCCTGTAAAAGTGCAGTCAGGATGGATGACCTGCATTGAGGACTGCATCAAGGTGAGGAATTAGAGATGGTGATGGTGGCTGATGGGTAGGCCTAAAGGTTCTTTGGATGCATGGTAATGGCGTAGCTAACATTTGAGTGGTGTTTTGCAGAGTTTTGAATTCCAGCCTGGTTTGAAGGGTTGACCTGGACCTGGCCGATCCAAAACTAGAATTGGACCGGGTTGAAAAAAAAATGAGAAAAGAAAAAACTCGGGGTAAGCTAGCAGGTTGACCCCATGACTGGTTGACCCCATAACCTGATTGACCCGACAAGATTTGATTAAAAATCAATTATAAATTTATTAATTTTTTTATTAAAATAACATTATTTTAATTTTTTTTAAAAATAAAATTTAAGCTAATCAATCCGATAAAATTTGGGTCTTGCACCGGGGCTGTCACCTGACTGGTTCTTAAATCTATGGTGTTTTGGCATTTTCACTTCTTGTACACTGCAATTATTGCATAGCTTCTAGGGTCAGCTTTTCTTTACTTAAGGTTCAGGGGCGTTTTAGGTTTTTAAATCTAGAAATTCTTGGAATTATTATATGAGATGAAGGATATTCACTCTTTTTATAATTTAAAAATACACACGCTCGTGTTTTTTACGTGGCACCTCCCAGTAGCTATTGATAGCTTTCTGCTGCGGTTTCTGAAGCATCCCAAGATCTTCTACATCATGGATCAGCACATCTTAGCTTTCATGATATAGAGGACCTCCACTGATATTTTTCTCTCCTCCATTTTAAATGTGTGCTCGTCTAAATAGTATTTAATCATTTAATTATATTAAATCAAATTTATTTATTTTTTAATTTTATTTTTTATATTTTTTTTATCAAATTTAATCCTTATTTTTTAATTCTTAATTATTTTGCTTTTAATCTTTTTTATTAGATTTTATTTTTCAATCTGATCTTTAATCATTTAATTTTAATTTATATATATATATATATATTTAATCTTTATTTTTATGATTACAGTTCTTTTTATTTTAAGTTCTTCTTTTGAATAGTTTTTATTTTCAATTTTATCCCTTATTATATAATTTCATTGAATTTTTATATAATATTTAGTGTTTATTTTTTATCATACTTTTAAAATCCACTGCATGAGTCGACTCCTTTTATGTCCCAAGTCATGGGTTGGATCAAATAATTAGGGTTAAAAAGATCTATCAGATTTTTTTTATTATACAAGAAGTAAAAATAATATTATTTTAATAAAAAAATAATAGCAAAAGAAAAAAATCAATGAGTGTTGACATGATTTTCTCCTAGCTATTCGCTTAATTTTTTATTTAATTAAAAAGTAAAAATTTTATTATTTTAATAAAAAACTAATAGGGAAAAATTCAGTTATGATCTTTTTTTTGTTGGTTTTTCTATGTTTTAGATTTTTTTCTAGATTTTCATCCTCTTCCATTTGATATTATTTTGTTTTCATATTAAATACGATACTCATTCTCTTAATTGTTACTTTTTTATTTTTTTCTTAGGTTTTTTTCTTTTAATTTTTCCCCTCAACATTTTCTTTTGTTTCTTTTTTTTTCTTGATTTACTTCTCATTTTTGTAATTTCTTTTTTTATCTTTTTTTTATTTGTTTTATCTTTCTATTTTATCCCTCAACATTTTATTTTATTTACTTTTTTTATCTAATTTTATTTTTTATTCTTTTGATTGTTCTTCTTTATCGTTATTTTTTTTATTTTTTGATAAAATCCCTTAATATTTTCTTTCATTAGTTTTTATAATAGATTTAATTCTCATTGTTTTGATATTTTCTTTTTTAATTTTTTAAGGTTAAAAATTTTGTTCAAATTTTGTTCAAGATTTGTTTTTGATCTTCTATATAATTACCTTAATATTATAATTAAAGTTACTAGTTTCAAAAATTAATCTAATTTAACTTTTTATTATTATTATTTTTAAATTCCATCCTTGGATTTTGAGCTTCTTATTTTTTTTTCATCCCTTCTTTAGGATTATCAAGATAACGAGGTAGTTAAGTTAATTAGATTTATTTAAATTATTATCATTTGAATATTTTTTTAATATTGAAAAAAAAAAAAAAAGACTTGCCCCACAGGGGAGGGGGTCAAGCTTCATCTAATTTTGGTAAAGTGAATTGAGAAATACAGTAGCAGAAATAACAACTCGATTGGATGTACAACCATCACTAACATTCCTAGCAATGTCTCACTTTTTCACCGGGCAAGCACGTACATAAAACCTAGCGAGGGAAGTATTCTTTACTCTTTCCTCCTTCCAAAATGTTGTGGAATAGCAAACTGCATGGTCGAGGCTTGCCAGAACTCTGTTGTTCAGCATGGGCATCTCGACCAGGACTGTCCTGAAGCAACTTTGCTTCTTGATCACAGTGACTAGACATCAGAATAAGATACACTTGAAAAACAAATTATAAATCAGTCATCTGATAAAACAGAACTTGCTCTAGATCATAGCTGTTTGCAGCAATTTGAAACTTAATAGCACACTGGACGCCATGTTATCCTAAAAGTGGTACCTGGAATTCATTCAACAGAAATTTTTTTGTTTTTTGTGAAAAAAAAATAGCTCAAAACGAGAATTACTTCTCACATAATCGCCGTAGCATAACCAGAAACACCATTACCGGGAGAAGAAGAGAACAAGAAGATCAAATAATCTTTTTAACCGGACCCAGTTTTTCCATGTGACCTGCGCATTGGTTAATTTTTCTTGTTCTGTGGCATTGTTTTTTGTTTTTTGTGCATTGGTTAATTTTTCTTGTTCTGTGGCTCTACCAGTCAATTACTATGACCCTTCTTAGAAATGTAGTTCATAGTTCTCTTGTCAAAACTGGTTATATAAACCTTAAATGTACTAACTAGATGCCCCCAACTGCATGATTCTTATCCGTTAAAGACTTCTTGAATTTGTTATCCCTTAAAGACTTCTAGAATTTGTAATTCCCCACTCCAGCTGTGCTAATAAGGTTCCAATCACTCAGGATGAGCCAATTCATAAAGAACTTCAAAGCTAGGCTCTTCAAGCAAAGCTATCTATTCACCGGATAAGATATTGGACAAGATTGCTAATGCTTCCCTCTGTGTTCCATTAACTACAAAAGCACTGATCTTGGAACTGCAAAGCTTCATTCCTATTCAAAAGCAGACTGCTCATCACATTCAAAGTGTACCAGATTTCCATTTCCCCTTCACCAGGTTACACCACCTCCCTAATCCTCAAAAGTCTCCTTGGATCTTAAACTTGACAGAACTAAGAAATAACAGATGCATGCAGCATAAACCCACTTGCCCATTTGAAAACCTAATGCTCAAACCTAGGAAATCAAACATAAAGTTACTAAAGAAATTCTGTCCTCAAGCATAAACCCACTTGCCTTCCCAGTTTACAACTGAGAGAAAAAGAAATATCATTATAGGGTTGCTAATCAAAGTTAACAATACCCTCCAACATTTCCTATTTTAATCGGGATGACATTTCTCGTCAATGACTCCGTTGAGCAATTTGCTTGGTTATGAACATTTTAAAGGAGTTTCTTAAGAGCCAAAGAATTTAGACAGAGTCTAGCAGGTTCTTAAAGATGTGAAAATGACGACGAACCCACAGGCCCTCTCCTTAAATATAAAGAAATCAAACTGCTACATCATCCCTAAACCTCAAAACCCAGTAATGAATTGCTTACCTTTTCCTACCCATTTTTAGCATAAGCAGCCGAATGAAGAAGAAAATACTTGTGTAACTAAAATTTAAGGAGTAGAACAAAAATAGAATGGTATTAGTTTCCAACAAATCCAAAGGATTCCTTAAAAATCGCAATAAATCATAAAACATAAGAAGAAGAAGAAAAACTAAAGCTCACTCGATTCATTTCCCATATGTTCACCATTGCAAAGCTAATCAATCAACAAGATCAAAAACTAATAATACGGGCAACATGGAGGAAATACAAAGAAACCCATATTAGAAATCAATCATAAGACAACAAGAAGAAGAGAATGAATGAATCAATTGCAAAGAAAGACCTGTTGAGGCAACCTCCAAGCCTCAGCCTTACTAAAGCACATATCATCAAGAACCTCACTCTTACACCACTTGCAATTTGGGTTATGGCTGCACTGAGATCTTGATACCATCTCACTGCAACTCGGGATCTGAAAACGGGCTGCGTTTCTCTGTCTTGCTAATAAAACACGATCATGTGAAGAAGAAGAAGCATTTGAGGATTGGACAAGAGTTGAAAGAACAAGTATAACTACTGCTAGAAAGGATAAGATTAAGAGCTGCTTTGTGTTTGCCATAATTAACTTGCTAGTTTTTGGCTAGAGTTTTGGGTCGAGACACAGACAGAGATAGTCGGTTTGAGTTTCTTTCGCCGTTGTTGTTTCGTTTTCTTTTGCGGCATTAGAACGAGCTAACAGTTACTGTAATAAATTAGTTCAAGTCTTTGGGTTAAATTGTCTTTGGGCCTTTTTTTTATATATATATAAATGAGAGACTCCTTCTTGAATTATTCTTTAATATTAAATATTTAACAAACAAATTCTTTAACGCGTGACAGCAACGCAGCCAAGGCGTGGCTCTATCACCCTTCTTTGCTTTCTTTCCTTTTCTCTTTCCCCTCTCCATTCTCGCACTTATCATGAAAAAAATTAACTATTGACATCAGCTCGTGAGAGAGGGCACAGTGGTCTTTCTCCTATAGGAATTATACATACATACATACATGTATATACATACATTAATACATACATACATGTATATCTCGTGTTTGTTCATGTTAGTATAATTGAAAGCATTAAATCTAAAATGGTGACCGTAATCTTGAAACATGTTAAGAATAGCAAAAGCTTGACTTTTGCTTTTGTTTTCACTCTCATCGACGTATTGTGAAATTAGAAACAAAATAATTTTAATATTTTAAGAATATCATAATCTTGAAACATGTTAAGAATAGCAAAAGATATGTACATGCAAATATTTGAATTCATGTCATGAGGCTTTATTTAATTGTATGAAAATTAAAATGGGCATTCATAAGAAAGAAAATAATTTAAATTTTGTACAAAAAAATTAATTTTCCATTCTAAATTCTTTATTCTTATTCATGTATCTTTTTATTTTAAGAAAAAAATATTTTTTTTTATTAGTGGTATGTTTTATTGAATAAAAAAAGGTAATTAAATTAAATATTCAAAAACAAATCTATTGATATGAAAT